GATGGGATGTTGGATGGATGGATGATGGATGTTGGATGGATGGATGGATGATGGATGGATGGATGATGGGTGGATGGATGGATGTTGGATGGATGGATGGATGATGTTAGATGGATGGATGATGGATGGATGTTGGATGGATGGATGGGATGTTGGATGGATGGATGGATTGATGGATGGATGTTGGATGGATGGGATGTTGGATGGATGGATGGATGGATGGATGGATGTTGGATGGATGGGATGTTGGATGGATGGATGGATGATGGATGGATGATGGATGGATGTTGGATGGATGGATGATGGATGGATGGATGGATGTTGGATGGATGGATGATGGATGGACGATGGATGGATGATGGATGGATGATGGATGGATGGATGATGGATGGATGATGGATGGATGTTGGATGGATGGATGATGGATGGATGGATGGATGATGGATGGATGAATGGATGGATGGATGGATGATGGATAGATGGATGAATAGATGGATGGATGGATGGACGGATGGATGAATAGATGGATAGATGGATGGATGATGGATGGATGGATGAATAGATGGATGGATGGATAGATGGCTGGATGATGACTGGATGGATGAAAGGATGGATGACTGGATGATGACTGGATGGATGAAAGGATGGATGACTGAATGATGGATGGATGGATGGATGGATGATGGATGGATGGATGGATGATGGATGGATGGCTGATGGATGCTAAACTCTGCTTGAAAAGATTAAAACAAGTTTTTTTCTCTGAACTGTTTCAGACTCTGAATTGTAAGAAAATAAAAACTTATAACTCAGTCTCATTAAACTATTTGTCACCAGTGATTCATATGAAATGCTTCCAGTGGTCAGTTGTATTAAATCACAGCCTGTTTTCATGTGGATGGCCTGTAAAACTGTATTTTTAGTTGAGCACTCTGTTTTGTTGCCTCCATTGTACCCACCCTGGCAGGTGCCTCCAGAGGGGAYATCTGCCAAGTTCTTCTCTGCTTCTTCTTTTCAGGGTCACTGGAGCTCATTTAGGTTTGAGGCAGTTTTTCAGTCAATAATTATTATTTATCATTGATGAGACTTTCACACCTGGATGTTTCAGCTCTTACTCTCATGTAAGCAGGTTAGAGATGCCCATCATCTTTTTAACTATTAAAAAAAAAACTTGGAAGTTGAGAACCAGCACAAATGTTCCAGGACCTTCTGGAGATTCCTTCATTAATGCAGTTTGCCAACTTGTCTCATTCCAGGGAGAATCCAGCCTGAGAGTTTTCAGTTTGACTSTTTCTGCTTTAACTTTATGTTAATCTTGAGGCTCATGATAAATTAGGCCCAGATACTGTGTCTGCTGGTGCTGATGATCTAATCTCTTCAGACAAAAAACTAAAAGAGCAACTTAAAGACTGAAAAACAGAAATCTGTTCCAACTGTTGCTTCTTCCATCTCTGACTTTACAACAAAATGTGATCATTCGTTGGTTGCTTTAYAAACAAAAAATGATGAAAGTAAAAATACATTTTGAGTAATGAATGCAGAATACTTGACATAAAAATTTAAATAAAATGATTGTAGATTAGCTTGATTTTATTTTTGTTTGTGTTTATGTAAGAAAGCAGTTTTTTTATTTGGTTAAAAAAAAGGACCAAGAATGAATATTTTTGTAAGATTCTATCATCTGTTCTTGTAAAGTCTGTGGAGCAACTGGAAGTGACTTCAGCAGCAAAAAGACAAACTTCTCCCAGAAACTGATAAATGTTTGTAGAAGACAAAGAAGTCTTCAAACATCAGACGGACAAACGGCTGAATCACAAYGTCAGCTAAAGACTCAAAACCTCCTCACCAAGTTGTTTTGGGCTGCTGGCTTCATAGGGCTCGTTAGAACCAGGAAGTGACCTCATCTTGGCGCTCAGACGCTCCCCTCTGCTGCTGCCGCCACTGTCTGCATGAAACATGACGTCAGTCAGGATCTGAGTCAGCTGAAGAAAACAAGTTTAAAATAGCCTGAAGCTGAACTTTGTCCAGGTTTACTATGTATCATTTTATCTGATTAATCCTATTATTTACTCAGTAGCAGGTCATCCCAGTACAAATACCACTTATTATACTCGTTAAGCATCTGCAACACATTTATGTGCAGTCTAAACCATTTCTATTTTTTCATATAATTAGTCAGTTTTCTAATCCAATACAGCAGATATTGGTGCAGTTAATATAAAACAAGTGACTTTCTCCTGATTTTGAAAGGTTTGGTCTGTTTTTAAAGGGCCAATATTATGTGTTTCTCAGGCATATATTTAAATACTATACTATAATAAAGTATCTATGCCACCTTTATCTGTTATTAAAATGCTGTTTTTATGTTTAAATAGAAAATGAACTTATCTTCTCATCATTTCCCCTTCTAAATGCCTTGAAATTGG